ATCCTGCCCTGGTGGTGTTATCATTGTAACAATATTTTGTTACATTGCCATAATCCAGATTATTTAGTTAATCTGTTAATAGTCTTTTAAAATTCATTAACTCCCCCTATACAGGTAAAATGCATTTTCCACTACAGATTGCGTATAGGTTTTGCTTCTTGGGATAAATCATGCATTTTGTTACCCGACAAATATTTGGCCGGTTGTTATTACAAATAAATACATTTGGGCTTGGTGGGATTCTAGTGTGCTGTCAATCGCAGTCTGCTTTAAACCGCGCATTCTGGGATTAAACGAAATCGTAATGAAACACCAATCATACCTTTTTTGTTTTTTGAAGCATTAGTTGTATCCCTAGTTCTAAGGAGAGATGGAACAATATTTAATCATTCACAAGATGGCGCCATTGTAGCTTTCCAAACTACGTGGGTAGCGTTGTTTTACTTTTATATGAACAGCGGTAGTGCGGATTTGAAATGTTACCTAGTAGTATAGTGGCATAGCATTAGATTTCTTGAACAGAAAAATTCGGCCATCTACGCTCTAAAATTTAATATTCAAATGAAAAAAAAAAAAATCTCTCAGACTTCGTTCTGCTGCGATTGTACTACACTCTATCCAGTTTTGTAACTACCACTTTTAAACCCTGCAAGACTGTAGAAAGGAAGTGTAGCTAATTTTCAGAAAGCACCAAAGTCTTTAGAGAAAAAGCTTGTCCAGTACAGGCAATAATTGTTAGCATGAAAAAATAAGAAAATTACTTTCATCAGGTCAGAGAAGTCCTGTAGAAAATGCAAATTCTCCTCAACTCCAGACAAAGTACTGAATTAATGAGGGGCCTTTTCACTAACATGACTGTCACGTGACTTTCCGACTTTAATGGCAGTATAGCTCGCCATGTACTGTTTGTGTTGTCTGTGTCAGCAGATTCTCTTTCATAGCACTGCTTTGAGGCATGAAGCCAATGAATCATACTGACTGATCCACAATTCAAAAAGGATCTCTCAAAAGAAATCACACCCATGGATTCCCCATTTATTATGTCTTAGTTCTGAGGATGAGACTAGTCACAAAATATAAAATGCACTACTCATAGCAGTAATGTGTGTAAATGAATCCCAAACTAAACCTTTGTATTGTATTCTATTTACAAAGAAAGCGTTAAGCTATAGGCTTATAGCACCCATCCGTCTGGTAAAACGCAACCACTGAAGCAGCACTCATTGCATGCTGAGAACAGAGATTGCGTCCTGCATCCTGTTGCTTTCCTGGGTGCATGCCATCTACTAAACCAGGCAAAAAAATACTCTGCGCCCATTCAAAAACTCTGACCTATGGAATCCCGCAGGAAATCCTCTTAATGAATAACACCAGGGGAAACTTAACAAGAACCTACTTCAGTTATTTTCAGATCATTGAAGAAATTTCATTAAAACACTGCTCTCCATTAATTACTGACTAATGTGGTGTTTTGGGAGTACAGATAAGAGTGCTCATATTATTTTGTTTATATTTACATGCCCACATCTACCAGTAATACAAAACATGCACAAACGGATTATCGGCACTTTAGCTTAGTTACATATTGTGCCATTTCGTTATTTCTGAGAGTACTAAACTAGAAATGTAATGCCCAATGCGATCTACCTGCGGATTTTAAGATTAAGATAAGATTAAGATTAACATTATTAATCCCAGGGGGAAATTCTGGTGCATACAGCACAGACGAACATCCAATTATTATATGATTATAATGCTTCTTATTCAAGATTCAGTTGTTTAATGTCGTTTTACGCAACAACACAACAAGATTGGGATAGCAACTCAGCAAATGGCAGAAACAGGTCAATATATAAGACAAGACAGGTAATATATAAAAAAATGTACAAAATATTCAACAAATATATGCAAAGTATAAATGGGTAAAATGTATATCCTGGTGCAGTGCGTGGGGGTTATGCGCTAGGCGCAGTGTTTCCCACAGTCGGTTCGTGTTTCTGCTCCGTGCCTCGGGGGCTAGGAGGGAGCAAAAATGTGGACTGTCTGTGGGTCTCAGAGGACTGGTTTAGGAAACACTGTGTTAAAGTCCTTCAGCTCCCAGTTCAGCCTTATTATCACACTGGGGTAAAAACTGTCCTTAATTCTGTATGTGGTCTTTGACTGCCTTGTACCGTCTGCCTGCGAAATGACAACAGTTCAAACAAATGGTGTCCAGGGTGCAATGCGTCACCTAGGATGTTCATGTCCCTGTGAAGACAATGAGAATTATAGATGTCCTGCAGGGAAGCCAGAAGAGTGCCAGCAATCTTCTCTGCATTCGTAATGATTGGCTGCAAAGCAGTTTTGTTTGGCGCAGAAACCCTTAACCCCAACTACTCCACTTTCTGGCTGGTCCTGCTTTCTCAATTGTGTATCTCTTCAGATGAAAGAAGCAGCTAAGTAAATAGATGCAACATTTTGTCTGCAATCGAACGAATCGGCAAAGCCAATGAGTCGGCGCATGTCGACTGGTCATATGGTATGTTGTCAAGAAGTTTAACACACAGAAAACTGTGGAAATTATCATTGACTTCTGGAAAATGTCCCCACCTCCTCCTCTGGTCATACAGGACACTATAGTCAGCAGAGCCAAGACCTTCATGTTTCACTATCCAACAAGACCTCAAACGGGACACTAACATCACCTGCATACTGTAAATAAGAGGTTCCAATGGCACCTGTACATCTTGCATCAGCTGAGGAAATTTAAGCTGTTATATAAGTGGCAGGGGTAGCCTAATGCTTAGTGAGGTGTACTTGTGATTAGAACAGGGGTGGGCAATCTTATCCACAAAGGGCAGGTTTTTGGGATAACCTGTAGGTCAGCTGTTCAAACCCAGGTGTGAGGACTCTTCAGCCAATCAGTCATCTAATTAGTAATCTAATTAGGGAGTTGCAGCGAAAACCCGCATACACACCGGCCCTTTGCGGATAAGATTGGCCACCCCTGGATTAGAAGGTTGCTGGTTTGAATCCCTGACCTGCCAGGTACTAGTCCCATGCACTGTTCTGCAGGTACTAAATAATGGCTGCCCACTACTAGGTTACATAGAAGACATATTTTGCTGTTGTGGTGTATCAACAATTAATCACTTTCATTTCAAGTTGATGGCTAAGTTGTACTCGGCCATAATGGAATCAGTTATTACATCCTCCATCTCTGTCTAGTTTGGATGTGCAACATCGCACTCTAAGAGGAGACTACAGAGAATTGCACGGCGTGAGGAAAAGATCATTGGCTGTCAGCTTCCCCTGCGTGAAGACCTGTTCTCATCAAAGATGAGAAGCAGAGTATGGAAAACAAACTCTGACGTCTTACACTCTGGTCACTTCCTCTTTCAACATCTCCTTTCTGGGCAAAAGCAGAGAGTAGGGGCTAAGGCACAAGGACTACGCACAACCTGAAAAGTGTCTTTCCTCAGGCTATTGTCCTCCTAAATAAAGACCCATGAGAAATGCACCGCTTCTTATCCAGTCACTCCCCTCTATGAGTTTTTCACTCTTATTGTCTTCATAAGGTCATTGGCACAAGCCATTTGCTCCATACGTTTGGTTGTCTTGCACATCTTATTTCTATTTCACTACCTCTGTTTTACCTTTATTCCATTTATTTTTTATTTTTTTCTCGATTATATGTTTAAATTGTATGTTAATTGGCACATCATGCCACAGTCTGCACCCAAAGAAATTCCTTGTACTTTTTGTACTTGGCGAATAGAGATTCTAATAACCCAATATTTCTGTGACTACTTACTGGCTGAAATGTTCAGCTTCTTTAATTGTCGGCTTTGCTGTGCAGAGATATGTGACTCAGTGTGGAAAAAAAGATAAAATATCAGGGATGTGACTCAGAAACATGAATCAACTGCCAATTGCCCAGGGGGTCAGTCTGCTACAGGAATAGATGCCCCATTCTGACGTGGATAAAGTATGCTAAATTAAAACATACAACATATCAAAATACATTAATGTAAATGGATTAATTATATCCCCTTACACAAAAAGAGGCTTTCTCTGTCATCATGATACAAAAATTCAATAATGATCATTGATTGTTTCTGACCATTCTGCTTTAATGTGTGAAAGTTAACTCTTTTTCCAAGATGTTTCATCAGAAATGTCACAAAAAGATAAGGATTTGCCTTCAAGTTACAGAAAATGTAATATGTGCATTTCTGTTTAGCAAAAACGGCACTGCAATGGGAATATGAATGGGACACTTTCTGCACTGAAGCGGATCCTAAATGCCAGAACTAGAAAAGATGATCGTATTACATCTCCTACACTCCTACATTCTCGAATCTCTTCATGACTTCTTGTTCAGCTCGAGACAGACTGCTAAATCATTTGCCTCAAATGTAAAGCATTCCAAAGTCTGGTTCCTGATTTTGTAACTAAGCCTGTACATCTTGCAAAACAACAATATGCTTTAAGATGCAGATCTCCTTCTACTCCCAAGAATGATTAAAAGTAGAATTAATAATAAAAACTGTTGGCAGTAAAACCTTCATCTATAGGGTCTATGGAACCATCTGCTAGCTAATGTAATGAATTCTGCAATCATTTTTTTGTATTTAAATCTAGGCTGAAGACCAGCTGTTACACTCCATTTTAGCTTAGCCTATTTCTAGCGTGTCCTGATTAATTCTGCTAATGGTTTTGTAAAACTGCCATATATGTGTTTTTATGAAATGCCTTGTATATCTCAATATCAGCAGTGACTATCTGTATGTGTTTATCCTCTGCCACATATCTGCCCCCCTCTGTGCTGAGTATCATCTGGGCCTGAGGTGCAAATGCCTGGAAACTTGACCCACACCGTAACTGCAGCTCTGCCACAGGCTGACCTGCTGGGCATCACCGGTGGCCCTAACTGAGCCCAAGCCGACCACGCCGCGCCCCTTTTCATGAAGACCGCCCCCGAAGCATTTTCCTTTACTCTTTCAGAGATGATTTGGGTACCTTTCGCGCAGTCGCCCCCTAGCGGACGGTAGCTAAACGCAAGGAGCGAGGAGCGTCTAGGGCACGAATCTTATCAGTCGCTTCCCTGGAAAAACTCCGCAGGACGAACGAAGCTTGAAAAAGGGGAGGGGGTGTCTTTCAACAGCCGACTTTTACTTGGTTTTCCTAAAAATCTGCTCCATGTGGTATTGCCGTTCGGAGGAACCTAGGGTTACTTCAGGTCGAGTTATCGTGCCAAGAAGAAGAGTCGAAGCAAAAAGTAAAAGTAAGTCGCTGTCTGGGCTCGTTTTTACCGGGCTTGTTGCGAAACGGGACAGAAACGGATGTGCTCGTAGAACTGCCTGCTGGGGTTTTTTAAGTATAAGGCTTAAGAACTTAACTACTTATTGGGAATGGCACCCCTTAGGAATTACAGCGTTAGCTAGTTAGCTAGCAGCCGGGTTTAAAGGACTGGGGGTTTGGGGAGCGCACAACCCCGCTATGAAGCTAGGCTAATCCGCCTGCTTGCTAGCTAGCTATCCGACGGTCTCCGCGCTGGGTTACGGTCATTTGCGGACCGACGTGTACCGCAATCCTGGTACCGAAGGGCGGGCTCCGCGGGTGTGTGTGGGGGGGTACTGTCCGCGGCGGATTTGCCAAGTTGTTGCGCTGTTTATGCAGCCTGAAAGTGAAACTGCTGTATTGCTTATTGTAGGTCGACACACCTTGTCTGGGAGCTGTGATAATCCTTAGAGGTAAAATAACTATTCGCTTAATTAAAAATGTGATTTTAAGTGACACATTTCAGCTAGACTACGCAAGTTAGTTACTCAACCGTCTTTTGCTTTTGTCCTGCTGACATTTTCTTACTGAAGGTCTGTTGTTGAAAATTTCGCAGATTTCTAACGATTTTGTAGAACTAGAAGTGTTTTTGCTAATTTTATTTAATTATTTCGTAAAAGTGTAACCAGGTGCCTTCGTCGCTGTTATGTTGATTTTGACCTGTCGACGCTGGTAACGTGTCAGTGTGTGTATCTAATAAAAGAGACGTTTCGCAATATTCCAACTGTCTGGGGACCTTGTAGTGATTATGAAGGAATATAGTGGCTATTGTCCCCTGAAGAACATCTGGAGGTGTTAAAATAGAAGCGTAGTAACTGCGGAGAAGCGCAGTGTAACTCGGGCTACGTTCACTCTCTCACGTAGGTAAGGCGCGTTGCTCCCTTAGTCATCAGCCGACGCCTTTAGGGATATCTAACAAAATCCATAATAATAATACAAAATAACACGCCGATAAAGGTTTTAAGCAATGCATAATACCTTAGAGTTTGATAGATTTTTATTTAAATATTAGTGTTACCTACCAATTAAGTTGCCATTCGTGATTACAGTTAAATTATTACAGTATATCTTTGTTGTATTATTGAAGTTTTTCTTTTTCATTTAGAATGATTATTATTGGAACTAGAAGTAATAGTAATGCTTCCAATAATAATTATTCTCCATTCTTCCAGGAAGATCCCATCACCTACTTTTCTGCCATCACATCCATTACACCGGATGATGAAGGTCTTGGCTGTTGGGCTGGGGTTGAGTGCTTTTATTGGCATTGACACTGCAGATCCTCCAAATTTAATTACTGAGAGCTGATGCAGTCACATCTGCAGGATCGGTTGGTGGGATCCAGAAATAGGTAATTTATCATGACTGGCTGCGAGGAGTATTTATTTCTATTAAAAAGAAGCTCAATCGATGTGGGTACAGAAACCGAACAGCTTAGTTATGTGCGTGCTCATGTGGTGTAAGTCTAGTGAAATTGAAATGTTCCTTTTATTCAGAGGTTTTTTCTTCCGTATGGCATGGATCTTGCCTCTGTTTTTCACTAAGTGCCATTAGATTTAGTGACAAAACAATAATAGATTAGGCCTAATTTTCTCCAGACAGGATGGTGAAGTTATTTCTGGTTCCTCCTTCCCCTGCTACCTGGTGATAATAAGATCTAGCAGATATCTTCTTTGCTGCCTGTCAGATCTCTGGCCCTTGTGGAAACTCTCATTTTCTGCATTGATTGTCAGCCTAAATAGCCCAAGCCCCATAGCAGTCCAGACAATTAAGGTCTTTTGACTGTGAGTGCAAAGAACGGTTACCATAGTTTCCTCTGCATCCAGTCTTAGGCGATGATGTCAGTGAGCATGCTGTGCTTATTCTCAGCATCTCTGTCACCTCCAATGTCTCCCTCTCCTCCCCTCTCCATGTATTGAGTCACTCATGGCACAATATCATTCCTGCTGTTTCTTTCCAGTCCATCATTTGCTTCAGTTCAGACCTGAGTGTGACAGCAAGGTAAGGAGCTTATGAAAGAGCTACATTTCGGTGGGTTAGCCTAAATGCCGAATGGGTCTTTTATATGAATAGATAATCTTTTGACATTCTGGGCCTCGAGTAATTTTTTTATGGTTATTTCATAGTGTCAGAAGCTCTCTATTAATGGGTAGTGAGGTTGTACTAAACAAGTCTCTTTAACCTCACGCTATGGGAAAAATGTCAGGCCTCTTGGGAGGAGAACAGTAGCGGTTCAAGATACTCGGAGTTTGCTGTGGAAGCTCTTGGGTTGCCATGGTCTATTTTTGCTTGTAGCACATCAGAAGCAGTAGGGGGTGATCATGTGATGGGTGGTTTTTAGTGTTCTTTGAAAAGACAGTGGTGCATTAAATGTATAGGGCTCTATGTTGAGGCTGTGGTATTTTGTCACCTTTCTCCCAAAGAGTAGGAACCATGGGAAATTTCTGTTTTTGTTTTTTTTGTTTTTTTTTTTTTGCAGAGGAGAGATGCGTATCTGAAAATACGTAAAAGCGACTCATTTAACAACAATTTTTAACTTTGAAAACCAGTTAGCCTTATTAACATTGAATCACAGAGTATCAGTTTTCAACTTCAACGGGATTATTGTATTTTATAGTTGGCTAATTACAGGCTTTATAACTAATGGGATCTTACTGCAACATTTGATCTGGTTTCAAACGTTGCTGCACTGCTGAGCACCTGTTTAGTGAGTCTATAAGCCTTATGAGACTAAATTGCATTTAAATTCAGCAGTAATTGGAAGGACTGCATCTCTGAATGTCATTACACATTTTCTGTTGCAAAATTTTTCACATTAAAATGTGTTTCGTTTAAAGTTTATGCTTTGTTGTCCTTTTAGGTAGTTTATATATATTATGGCTTGTGCTTTAATCAACATTTTTTCAAACATTTGGTTTGTCATTGTGTTACTTTATCATTCCAAGGTTTCTTACTGTTGTAAATTAGAAATGATGCAAAAATATTACTGCCAGATAATCCATAATCATTTAGTTTTGATGTTCTATATAGCTTTATGGACTTCAAAGCAAGTGGCTCAAATTCTTATTTCTGTTTGAATATTTATTGTGAGCTCTTCCATTATATTGTAGCCATCCACAATACAAAATTTGTTTAATAATTTTTCAACTATGCACATGGCGGTACTTGGCATGTATAAATGGCAAAAGAGAGCGATGGTTCTATTTCCATATATATTATATTTTTATAGATACAATAACCTATTCAAAGTGGAATTAAACAGTTTCTGGCTTGAACCTTCATGCTAATGACGTATTAAAATCAGCAGTTCAGGGAGTGAAGGAAAAATGACTAATGTTTGAATGAGAGAGAAGCCCTTCTAATACGAATTCATTTTGATAGGGAAAAATAAATCTAATTAAAAATTTATTTTTGCATAGCAGATGTGTGGCTCTATTTGGCTTTTTGGAAATTGAATGTGTATTTCCGTCTGCCTTTTCCCACCTATTTGGTCTTACAAGACAACAAATGAGAGAAACAATTAAACATTTATATGGCTGGCCCCTGTTGGGGACAAAGAATGCAGTTGTTTCCTGGCAGGGTAGTACCATAGTGCTTAGAGATATGGCTACATGAACAGCATAAAAGGTATATGTTGAACTAGTTAATATGATCTGATATTAAATGTGGGCAAAATAAAACCAGAAGACAATGTAACAGAAGAAACAAAAATGAACGATCATGATAGTTATAGAAAATGGCCACCCGTTCCTCTTTGGGCGTGCTTCTGCCATAATGTCTTGTGTGAACTAAAATTAGGTGTAGAAACATGGACTTATCTGGTTGATCAGGTGAGGATGTCTGTCCAAAAGAGAATTTCTCAGACTCGCCCTTTAATTTAGTAATTCAGTGTCTTAACTGCAACTGTTTGCATTGTGGGAGGAATCCCACACAGACATAAGAATACATAAACCCCAGACATGCGGAGGTGGCCACACTGCCCTCTGAAGACGCGCCATGGGTGTCTCTGTCTTACCTCACTGCTTGGTTACTGGCTATTATTCTGCCCTGTGTAGAAAAATACATACCTGTCATGCTTTATTTATACTGTTTACAATCACATTATAAAGCTACTCAGTTATTTGTTTTTTAAAGGTAGCTGCTCTCGTAATAAATACGGTATACTCTGTGAATGGTCATTAAGGGTCTCATTAAGGTTTCCTTGGATTGTGTAGTTTTTATTTTATCACATTTTCATCTTCATTTTGTATTATTAAGATCAAGATTTTTACTTTTGCCTTTAGTTTCTCGCAGAGGTAATAAGCACGTAAAAATATATACATTTTTTGTAAATTACATTTCTATTTCATTTATGCTATTTTAAGCACTGTAAACTATTATCTTGGTGGCTGACCGGAATAAACATTGCTCAAATTTTGCAATTTCAATAATACTGCTGCATAGATTGACGTTTCCATAGTAACACTTTAATTTGCGTTCTACGTTGTGCACTGTTTGACTAGTTTGAATTATGGGAGTCAGCAGGAAGCGCCATAAGCCCTGCCGGTTTTAGGATAGTCTGGTACCTATGTGTAGCTGATAAACTCTGGAAATGTGCCATTGCAGCCAGGCTTGGTGTTGCCTGATAGAAACTGCCCTCAAGGTCGGTCACTTTCATTTCTAGTGGAGTTGAGGTGGGGGGGGGGGGGCTTCACACAATGATTATGCACAGCTTGACATTCAGTGTCTCGGGTTACTCAGTGGCTTGAGAGAAGAACGGCTGCGGGCGGGGGTGGACAGTCTGATGAAGGGGCTAGGTGTACATGAGCTGGCATGGGTGACTTCACATGTATCAATCAACAGAAAAGGGTTCTTAAAGTCTCTTAAATGCCCACATGGTAACTGTGTCAGTTAACAACAGTAACTCACCCACCCAACCGTTGTTCATTGGGTAAAAGATCAGCA